TACAAGCTTTCAAGTTTAACAATCAACACCAAGAGAAGAACGTAGGTTTTCCGGTTATCTGTACATAAAAATGCCATTCGTATTAAAGTGTTTGTTTCAAGACTTAAAGATTTCAGTTAGAAAAGACATTGATTAAAACTTAAATATATGGAATGGAATTAAAAGCGACGGACATTTTAATTAGTTCATTCTGTGTGAGCTCCTTGTGTGTAGATTGGTGCAGTGTAGGACAAAAGCCCCCCCCCCCCATCTAAAAATGACAAGGTGGACAAAAGGCCCCCCCCATGAAATTAACACATAGGACAAAAGCCCCCCCCATCAAAAATACAGGTAGGACAAAAGCCCCCCCCCCCATCTTTTTTCACACACACACACAGGTGCTCAAATTCATCAAATTTCACACAAACTTTTAAATAAAAATGAAAAGAATTAGATTTAATGTTTATTTATAGTGTATATATTGAAGTGATAACAAGGTATATGATAACAGATAAAATAATGCATGCATGCGATACTGAATTCATAGCTTATCATATTTTCATATACACAACAATTATTGGTCAGAAGAGTAGTAATGTTTAATCACTTTTGTAAAGGGATCAAATTAATATCCTTAGCACTATGTTTCCTACATGTGATGTCCATACATATCTTTAAAACACATAAAAAACACAACTTTAATACACTATATGTAAATTTGATTGACAATGGGGGGGGGGGGCTTATGTCCTACCTTTACTTTTTATTTTATGGGTGGGGGGGGGGCTTTTGTCCTATGTGTAAATTTCATGGGGGCTTTTGTCAACCTTGTCATTTTTAGAGGGGGGGGGGGGGGTCGTCGGGGGGGGGGGCTTTTGTCCGTATCCCAGATTGGTGTTTTATATGAAAAGAACGAATGCACCGTAACATTATTTCCGACAATGCCAATATTCATATGCGGTAGCCCGGTTTTCTTTCTGTTAAACAAAATTCCGTCTTGTGTAGCAACTTTCCTGTATGGCTTAGAATTAAGTCAATGTGTGTTACATTGTTGGATGAGGTCAGCTTTACATATATATTTAAGTGCATGGGGTTGGTCTGAACAGCGCGTATTTATGAAATAAAACGATTTGTTGTTATCGTATAGACCGTAGTATTGATATATTACAGCTACTGAAACAAAGAGATTTGGGTTGATGCCAACCGCTTGCCCTTGTTTTATTTATTATTAATGGAACATTTTCAAGTACTTGCAGAGTGTGGCAGACAATAATTAAATATTGAGAAAAAGGATTTTTGTATTTTCTGATCGCAAGATCAGTAAATACAAAGCTAACATCCACGGTCTAACACACAATTTCCTTACAGACCTAACAACGCAAAGTAGTTTTCACTCAAAACTGCTTAAAAACCAGCAATTTAGAAGAAAGAATATTTTTAATGAAGGCATTTAACGAATTACAGTGCATAAAAAGTTGAGATTAGTCAATAGAAATATGAGTTTACAATCACAAATTTCGCGGATGAATATCTTTTTTACCCAATGAAAAATGTTTGGCTATTTCCGTAAAGCTTCGGATTATCATGAATGCACAATCACAAATTACGCGGATGAATATCATTTTTATCAATGAAAATGATATTTTTAGCTATGTCGATTACCGAATACTCCAAAGCGTAGTACACAAATAAATCTTGACTGTCGAGTAGTGGAATATATAGTCGAGGCAATTTTCTTTTTTTTCTTTTTGAAGTGTCTTTTTTAAGGAAGTATTCACGATGTGCAAGGATAGAGTGTGGCTCCTTAAAAAAAATGAAAAAAAAAAAAAAAAATGATTTTTTGATGCAACTCTAGTCATGCAAAATTCCATATGTATCAATCTCAAACTGTTATAGAAAAAATCTAAACGCAGTCGCTGAGTAAGATGAATTATAGTATATAAAAATAAACTTATACAGGAAAATACATACAGATAGTCAGAATGATTTAGATTGCAATGATCAGAAAATGCCATAGAGCTTGCAGCCCTTTGATTACTATACAATACCTATTGTGATATTAAATGTCACATCAAAACTGCGATGTTAAGATTTTAGAACACTAGTGAACATCTACAGAAGTATATCGACAAACTAGCTTCAACACAATAAATACAACAGAAAATTGTAAATGTAGTGACTTTGTGGGTATATCCTTGACATTTTATTATTTAGACTACAAATTTCCTGCTTTTTGTCGTAAAGATTGACATTATTTCCGATTACCCTTGCCATTACTTCTACATAGACGTAACGAAGCTTTCGTTGTATTGACGGTTAGACACGTCTCTAATGTGGTCATTGTTGGTTCTTATAGTTCCGTGCGTCCTATACTGATTATTGTTTGTACATAAAACTGAAGGTTTGATGTTGTGATAAACTCATACAAATAACACAAAGTTTACATTCCTTGTAAGAATGCCGCCCTTTCCGGTTCCGCATTCGGTACACAGCATTCGGAGAATAATAGGCATTGGAAGTGTCTAAATACGGCAATCTAACTTTTAACATTCTCGCACTATACTCTTAAAATAATAAAATTAATAATAAATTAATAATAATAATAATAATAATTTTCATTATTTTATTATTATTATTATTACAGCATACGCAGGTAACAGACCATTTTAGGCTTTGACCTCCAAGTTTGACCTTGAACTTTGAGGTAGGGGTCTGGGTGGTGCGTATGGCATGTCGGGAATAACATCTTAACAATGGTCGCAAATGACATTTTCGCGGGGGAATAAAACAAAAACTATTCAACCTGCGCGAAATAATGCGCTTTTGCAACGTAAATGAATGAACGTACTTGAATGAGATCGTTTCGGTGGCTGGGGTTCTGTCTTGGTCTGGGCAGGTATTGCATATGACTTTCGTACTGTTCTCGTCGTTATCGACGGGAATTTGAATGCATAACGCTAACGAGATAAATTATTGCGAGGCATGTTATCATACTGTTTCAAAATAATGTCAATGTAACTCTTTTCAACATAATAATGACACAAGCCATACAGCCAGGGACACTATGAAATTCCTCAGGGCGAATAGCATTGCATTTATTACTGACTGGTCTGCCAAAAGTGTTGATCTAAATGCAATTGAACACGTTTAAGACCATTTGGACAAGTGCCCAAGACGTCGCCCTATTCCACCGACAAACGTTATTCAGCCTTAATTCAGGAACGGAACAACATTGCACAAGCCTAAATCAATACGCTAATCCGTTCTATGAGCAAACGATGCCAGGCTATCCTTCATGCTGAAGGTTGTCATACCGAATATTTATTTGTGATTTTGTTTGGGGCCCCTTCTGCATTTAACTGCTATTACACTACTTTTAGATTAACCTTCAGCAATATTATTTTCTCACAAAAAATAGCAATATAATACCCTTAGAATACTGTAACATATAAATCTACTTTAATCCCGATTTTTATATTTGTGTATATCTGCACTTAAACACAAGGGAAGTTTCTTTTTTTTGTTCAGTATATATCGGGTTATAAACGAACAGAACACCTGTTTCTTTCTGTTCGATGGAGAAATATACATTTTGTAGTCTATTTAGGGCGACAGTAGAATGAGCAGCACTTGCCACTCTGATTCTATTTTGGACATTACTTTCGCCAGCCTGACCATACCAACCTCGATAAAAATTTGTGTGGACCACCACCATTGCGTAAATTAGACTCATAATTTTCCCATACCAAATTATAGCCTCCAACAATTGTTACCCAAAACAATTTTGCCTCAAGCTTAACTTTGGCTTTGCTTTTTCTGTCACCATTTAACTACAATAGTACAGCCATTATGGAATGAAAACTAGCAGAACAACATAAGCAACAAGAGCTGTCACAGGAGACAGCGAAGCTCGACTTATTAAACACTAGACTCAGTAAAGAAGATAAAACTATGAAAGAAAACTCAATTATGATATAAATATATTTCTTCTTATGACAAGACCTTTTAGTTGTAAACATGAATTCCAATTCCAATGGGGAAAATTCTGGAATTAGCCACTCTAAAGTAATGGACCTTGTCACACAGTATGTGTGTAATGATAAGACATATTTATTTGACGTTAGAAGTAGATTTTTTTTTACAATTTTAATAATGTGTTTTTAATCCTAGTTGTAAACAGGAGTGTCATTAAATCAAGATTTGACTGTGATATATATTTTTATGACTTTTAGTATTTTTAAACATGATTATATTTAGGTCTGCTTCTCTATGTCATGCCGCCAATACAAAAGACCACAATTTAAATTTGAGCTTTTTTGCCCTTTTTTGTGTTATCCTTGGTGTTAATGAGCATGTCATAGTTTTCTAGTATGTGAAATAGTATTTAATAATGCTCATTATTTTATCCCATGTTATGTTGTCAACTATGTATATGCTTCTTATGCCGAAATAAATCTATCTATCTATCTATAAGTTATAGTAAAAAATAACATTTTTCAAGTAAAAAACATCTAAATTAATGGGGATATAATTCTTGCAATATTGGTGCTAGAGTTATGAACCTTGTCACATAAGATGTGGTTCTTGATAAGGTAGATATATTTGAAGTATGAAGTTGATCCCTTAAGAAATAAAGAAGTAATAGTAAAAAAATATTTTTTAAGGAAAATTCCAAGTTGAAGGGGAGATAAATCTGAAAATATTGGTGCTAGAGTTATGAACCTTGTCACATAAGATGTGGTTGATGATAAGGAACATATATGTGAAGTATGAAGTTGATCCCTTAGGAAATAAAGAAGTAACAGTAAAAATAATATTTTTAAAGAAAAATTCTAAGATGTGGTTAATGATAAGGAACATATAATTGAAGTTGATACCTGAAGAAAAGACAAAGTTATAGTGAAAAATATTTTACTGCACCAAAACTTTAATCTGAAATATGGACGGGGACGCCGAGGCCGGGTGAGTAGGACAGCTATCAATATACTTTGTAAAGTTGTGCTAAAAATTACAAACACAGATTTTAATTATCTCATTCAATCAAATTTAATGTGCATTTATTTACAAAATAAAATAAAGTTTAACAAAATGAAATAAAGTATAACAAATGTACTATGTGATTGATCCCGCTACAACCATAACAATTCCTATGAAAATCTGGTAGCACTCTCTTTCAGGGCACATCTGCCAGTTTCCGTGCCCTTGAAATGCACAAAACAAAAATTAAAGGACTCATAATAAAGCATGCAGACCCCAATTTCTGTCATAAATTTGTCTTTACATAATCTAAGGAAATCACTAAAAATTAAAACAAGAGCTTTCACATAAGGTGATTCATACCCCCACCAGCAACTTTAACTTTTTAAAAAATAAGTGGTCTGAAGCAAAATTTGAACTTTTCATCTGTATACCAATAATTATTACTAATTGCTTATCTTCAAGAAACAAATTTCTATTTCTAGTTACAGTGAGCTTAACCCAAGGGGTCCAAAAGCAATCCAAATACCAATGAATTCATATAAGTTTGCTATATACGAAATTTCATTACAATATCTCATTTCCAACTCTTTTTATTGTCTGAAAACAATTTTAACAGTTACCAGTTTTTGTCAGAAAACAAGTTTTCTATCTTTATTAACATTGACCTTGACCAAAGGGGGCGCAAAAGCAATCCAAATAAACTTGCTATATACCAAGTTTGATTATAATATGTTGAGTAACAGTCAGTGTGCTTGACCAAAGGAAGTCAAAAAAGAATACCAACCAGGATTTTCACATAAGCTTGTTATATACCAAGTTTGATTACAATATCAGAGCCATTCCTAACTCTAGTTATTGTCCGGAAAACATTTTTCTATTTTTAGTAATAAGGACCTTGACCCGAGGAAGACCACAAGCAATAATAAATGAAATTTTCACATACGGTTGCTATATATCAAGTTTGATTACATTAACTCATTCCAAACTCTAGTAATGGTCCGTAAACCATAAAGTGGAAAGACCGACCGACAAGCTGACTCCTATATACCCCCCACCCACTTTGTTTCTGGGGGTAAAATAACCACAATCAGGAGTTTACACATTTAAAATTTACAAGTTCAATAAATTTAGCAATGAACTTTCACAAATTTAATATTCTATTTATCACATACTCATAATAAAGACCGTTTGAAGTGATAAAGTAACATTTATCAATGACGCACCTATAGTATTATAACTGCTAACATTTAGGGCGTTTTAACACCATGTTTATATAACTTAAATGACTGCACAACAAAATATATGCGCGGCCGTGCAATACCATTTTGACACAGTCTTAAAATCAACACAGGTATGTGATAAATTATTATTAACACTCATCTTCTTAACTCCATATATAAGCATTATAACTATTGTCCGACCAGGGTAGATCTAATCAGCTGGCAGATTCAGGTTTGATCTGGATCTGCAGTCTGACATAAGCTAATGAATCTTAAAGAGAACAGCTGTGCCTGCTTATCTAGATCTACACTGTCCAGCCATGCAATAATGGAGTACCTATGCAGTAAAGGTTTAATGTGTTCATGTATGAAAACCAAAAATTATTTACAAACTTAATATATTATTATAAAAACACCCAAAAATATCCATAGCTTAACAAATTTGATAATGCAGTCTCATCATTTAGATGTTCTTGGGCAATAAAGCTGTACAAGATAATAATTATGTATAGCAAAGGAAACAATTACAAAACTTATTTCAATCCAAAACTAGAAATTGCCACATTAGTGCCGAATGCTCTCGACACACGCTTGTCACAAAACATGCTTTTTAGTTATAACTTTGCACATAGGGAGCATTCGTACCATGTGGTCAGGACCTACACTGGATAATTGCTACATCCCATGGAGTATAATTTTAAATACGGCTCTAAATTATGTCTTTACATAAATGAAACTTTTTACTAGAGTAAATGCAATGTTGATTTCTTACTAAGTCATCAAAATATGCTAAGTGTTGAACTTTAAGACACATCTTGTATGTAACAAATTTTTTTAAAGGATTGAATACTTACTGGTGTTCACTTGTGTATAGAAAACATTTAATTTGTGTTTTAACAATCTCAAATTATTTTCATACCTAAATTAACACCACCAATTTAAATTCAATTCACATCTTTACACTTCCATTTTACCAAGAATTCAAGATATTATCATGTTACCAACAAAGGGAATGACAGCGAAGTTTTTCACAGCAAAACAGGAAAGCTAGTTGACAATTCAAGTCAAAGCATTGTGCAGAATCCAATAAATTGTGAGCAGCCTTTACTGTAGCCACACCTCTTTAAATAATATGTCACACTGCGTACAGTAATTATGATTCTTTAGATGAACTAGAAATGTGTCCAAAGGACACGGGTGGCCCCATACTCCACTGTTTTGCCAATCTACTGACTCTAGGTCAAATATTTTTCGGGTGTACATGCAACACAAATTGAAAATCTTTTTACTAAGTCAAGGGCAAAAACTCTACAAATACTGAATAAATCCACAAGCAAACCTAAATTAAGGCACACAGTTACACATGCTGACTACCATTCTTGTAAATTATCAGTATTACAGATCAAATACTTTTGAGCTTTGCATGAACAAGTGGAAAAATGCAAATTTATACTATGTCAAAGGCAATAACTGAGAAAAATCCACAGGCAAAACCCCAGGACTTTGTTCACAACTACACATGCTGACTAACATTCCTGTAGAGTTTTATGACTCTTGGTCAAATACTTTGAGCTGAGAATGGACAGACAAGTGTCAATCTAAATGCCCCACCCCTATAGTGGGGGTACAATAAAACTTTAATGTTTATAATGAAGTTTAAAGCTACTATCCCACACATTGTAGTTTGGGTGTTTTTGAAATAAAATGTCATCAAAAGATGAAATTTCAACACAGCCTTTTACATTTATATGAAACTAGATGATAAATACATGTTTTGATCAACAGAAAAAACATCTAAGTTAAATTTTTGCAATTTTCACATGCTGTAATTTAATATCATTGCAATGTTTTAATTGGTTGAATTTTAAATTAAATTATAGACACACCTGTTCACTGTTTGCATGTAGATTGCATGTAGAACAGCTGTGCGCTTGGTGAGTTTTTTTATCCTGCAATCAATGGTTGCACAATATATCATAGAAAATTATATGAGCCGCGTCATGACAAAACCAACATAATGGGTTTGCGACCAGCATGGATCCAGACCAGCCTGTGCATCCGCGCAGTCTGATCAGGATCCATGATGTTCGCGTACAAACCCTATAACAAGTAGAGAAACTGATAGGGAACAGCATAGATCCTGATCAGACTGCGCCGATGCGCAGGCTGGTCTGGATCCATGCTGGTCGCAAACCCATTATGTTGGTTTTGTCGTGACATGGCTCATATCTATAAAAAGAGACAAGAAAAGAAGAACATGCCTCAGTAATCTGGTTTAAAACTGACATTTATATTAATAGTTATAAAGATTTTTGACAGGTTATAGGGCCCTATATAAACAGCTGATTGGATATATAACCAAAGCCTCTTGGTCAGAGTTTTGTTGCAAACAACAGTTATATACGTTCATATCACCTGTCAGAAATTTTAATAACAAATTTATAAAACAGCAAACTTCCTCTTTTTTGAGAAAAAATTAGATTTCTTAGAAAATTAACAAATTTATAATACAGCAAGCATCATTTTCAGAGGAACAAGATATGTTTGTAAAACATGTATGCCTCCTATCGGCAGCCAGTTAGTCATGTGATCAGGTTATAATGCATGACTTCTGACCCAGTGAACAAACAATTAATAAGGGTTATGACTAGTCACAAGGTAATAATTATTGAGACCCCATTTGTGTGCAGCAATTTAAGTTATTACAAATCTTACCAAATAATATATGCATAAATTTTATGAATCATGTAGGCCTCATTAATGACAGCCAAGTTGTTATATTACAAAAGACCTTCAAATGTGTATACCAAAAGCAATTTTAGTTTAATATAAAAATATCAAACAAGGCAACTTGAGTTGTTGATTTATTGGTCAGAAACCGTCATTAAGTACAAGGTCAATATGACATTGACCCCTTAACCCTACTGGTCACGACCAATCATAATACCAAGTTTGAAGTTCCTAGGCCTAAGCGTTCTTTAGTTATTGACCAGAAACCGTTTTTACCTTCAAGGTCAATGTGACCTTGACCTTTGACCCAAAATCAAAAGGGGTCATCTGCTGGTCATGACCAATCATCATACCAAGTTTGAAGTTTCTAGGCCTAAGCGTTCTTAAGTTATTAATTGGAAACCGTTTTCACCTACAAGGTCAATGTGACCTTGACCTCTGACCCCAAAATCAATAGGAGTCATCTGCTGGTCATGACCAATCGCTATACCAAGTTTGAAGTTCCTAGGCCTAAGCGTTCTTTAGTTATTGATCGGAAACCGTTTTTACCTACACGGTCAATGTGACCTTGACCTTTGACCTCCTGACCCCAAAATCAATAGGGGTCATCTACTGGTCATGACCAATCACCATACCAAGTTTGAAGTTCCTAGGCCTAAGTGTTCTTTAGTTATCACTCGTAAACCATTTGGTCTACGGACCGACGGACCAACAAATGCAAAGCAATATACCCCCTCTTCTTTGAAGTGGGGGCATAATAAAGCGAGATTTCTTACTAAATCGACAGCAGCCATGTATATAACACTATATAAACATCACGTTTATCCAATGAAAAGCAATATTACAAATGTGCAGTATTATAAAACAAGAGGGCCATGATGGCCCTGAAGTCGCTCACCTGTATATAGGCCCCCAGAACAGGGCCAGTTTAAACCCCAGGGCTTTTATTTAAACAAACTTGGTAGACACCCATTAGAAGATGTTTCATGCTAAACATCTAAGGTCTAGCTCCTTGGGTTTTTTTAAAAGAAAAATTTTTTCTTTACACATATAGTTAAAAACAATGACACACCTGGGGCAGGGCCAGTTTTAACCCAAGGGCTTTTATTTGAACAATCTTTGTAGACACTTACTATAAATTGTCTCATGCTTAATATCTAAACTCTAGCTATTCGGGTTTTTTCAAAGAAGATTTTTAAGTTTTTCCTATACACATATAAGGAAAATCAATGTCCCCCGGGCCGGCCAATTTTGACCCCAGGGCTTTTATTTGAACAAACTTTGTAGACACTCACTAGAAGGTGCTTCGTGCTTAATATCTAAACTCTAGCTCAAAGAAGATTTTTTAAGTTTTTACTATACACATATAAGGAAAATGAATGACCCCCGGGGCGGGGCCAATTTTGACCCAAGGGCTTTATTTGAACAAACTTGGTAGACACTCACTAGAAGATGTTTCATGCTTAGTATCTAAACTCTAGCTATTTGGTTTTTTCTCAAAAAAGATTTTTTAAGTTTTTGCTATACACATATAACGAAAATCAATGACCCCCGGGGCGGGCCCAATTTTGACCCCAGGGCTCTCATTTGAACAAACTTGGTAGAAATCCATTAGAACATGTTTCATGCTAAATATCTTAGCTCTAGCTCTTTGGCTTCTTTAAAAGAAGATTTTTTAAGTTTTTACCATATGCATATAGGGAAAATCAATGACCCCCTGGGGCGGGGCCAATTTTGACCCCATGGCTTTTATTTGAACAAACTTGGTAGACACCCATTAGAAGATGTTTCATGCTAAATATCTTAGCTCTAGCTCTTTGGGTTCTTTAAAAGAAGATTTTTTTAAGTTTTTACTATATGCATATAAGGAAAATCAATGACCCCCTGGGGCAGGGCCAATTTTGACCCTAGGGCTTTTATTTGAACAAACTTGGTAGAAACTTACTAGAAGATGTTTCATGCCAAATATCTAAGCTCTAGCTCTTTGGGTTTTTTAGAAGAAGATATTTAAAGTTTTTTCTTTTGGTTGCCATGGCAACCAGAGTTCTATATGGAATTAAATTCTTTGAACAATTTTCAAAGGTGACCACCAAAGGAACATTCCTGTGAAGTTTGGATGAAATTGGCTTAGTGGTTTATGAGGAGATGTCATTTAAAGTTAAAGTTTACGGACAACGGACGGACGACAGACGATGGACGGACGCCAGACGAAAAGCGATCACAAAAGCTCATCCTGTCACTTTGTGACAAGTGAGCTGAAAAAACTATATATACGTCACGATTATTATAAAGTAAGTTCTAACCACAGGTAAACGTCGCGTGGCCACGACTTACACCATAATTGCCCCTCTACAACCTAAAACCCTTACACATCATCCAAACATCATATGTATTGACAAAAATAAATTTTATGAAAAAAACATTTTTATGACTCTATAATATTTTAGTCATAAAATTATTTTTTTTCATTAAATTTATATTTGTCAATACTTATGGTGTTTGGATGATGTTTTAAGGGTTTTGGGTTGTAGAAGGGGAACGGGGCTATTGTGTAAGTCATGGCTACGGGATGTTCACCTTGGTTCTAACTGCATCAAGCTGTCCTGCTCATGACATGTTAACAGGTATTTGCATCAAGTGAAACATAACTGTTACTGTCACCGTGAGTTATCTTGTGAAAACTGCAAATTTTACTTCTATGCATAATTTATAGCTGTTAACAAATATATTCATGTTTTAGACCCGTTTTGTGTAGGGAAGTAGCTTTAAAAAGTTCATATATCATTATGCATTATCATTATGCATTTTATTAATTCTATTTTTTTTCGACTTGATTTGGTTATAGACAGCAAACTTAATTTTTTTCCATGGAAGTGCACATAAGACACTACATTTTCTCTGAACATTCAAAACATCAAGTTTTCCTGGAACCTTTTCTAGTTTAATGTTTTTTGCGAACTGTTGTTCAATTGCCCTCTTTTCACTGAATGTCCAGACATGTTTGTCTGAAATCTTAGCCTTTTTATGGTGTACATGGTGTACACCATCTGTCAAAGGATTCTCCTTCCTCTTTTTTCCATGAACTGAAAATCAGTAGAGAATATATTTATAATCTTTTGCTGCTGAATTCTTCTTATCTGTTTTGTTTGCTAACCAATAAAATTTTAAAATATAAATTCCATATGACAACATTAATCTAGATTAAATACCTGTATACAGTTCGAAATTAATGTATAAAAAAAATGCTTAATGAACATCATTACAAAAATGGTTTTTCAATGGTACATGTTACTGACAAGTTTAATATGCAAAATGATAAAATTATCTGTTAGCTGAATAAAACTAAACTCTGGTACTGAATGGACAGTTTTGACTGTGCTTTAGCTCATTTTAGTCTAGAACCATACTGATTGGCATGTGATTGACGCAGCTCATAATACAAATCAGAATTTGATTTTGCAGGGTTTTTCCCCAGGATTTTGGGAATATGACCCATACCCAAGGAATTGAGAATTTCAGTGATGTTTTGTCAAAAAATGAGAAAAAAATCATGACATAAATTTTGCAAAGATTAAATGAATGCCAAAAAGTCAATGTCTAAAATGGGTTGGCATCCATCGTTACAGTGAAGAAGCCTTACTTTGAACTATTTTAGAATCTTTAATTCAATATTTTTATTTTGTCCCTTTCAGTTGAGAATTTTTTCTTGTGGACTGGGAAAATAATATTTTTCTCTCAATTGGGAATATAACCTATTATTGGCTATGAAATAAGCCAAAAAAATCCCTGTTTTGTTACAACAAAACACAGCTTTGTGTATGCTGGACAAAATTAAATGCTGAAGATAAATAACAATAATTGGATGTGAATCAAATAGTTTGCAAGTTTACAATAAATATCTATAACAAAGCTATGATAAAGAAAATACATTTACCAGTGTGATCATCATCAACATCTGCAGCCTCAACATCTGCAGCCTCAACATCTTCAGCCTCAACATCTTCAGTCTCAACGTCTTCAGTCTCAATGTCTTCAGTCTCAACATCGGCTGTAAAACAATGTACAGATTGTCAGATGGCACATCACTACTCAAAAGTTCACATGCTGATGAATATATTGATCCAGATTTATCTATGTTTATCCAGATTTATCTGTCTAGCAGAAATATTTTTTTAAAGTAAAACACTGAATGCCAATGGACAAAGGCTAACATACATACTCCCTTCCATCCCATGATCAGGCAATGATGGAATAAAGCTTCAGTGCAGGAAAAGTTCTGAGGTGAGCTTTGGTGAGCAACTTTAGTCCATCTGTATGTGGATATATATGCAATTTCAAAAGCATATTTGCACAAACATATACAGCAGTTTTAAATAAACAATAATTCATGATTTCAATAGAATGGATTATCCTGGTCTAATTGATGGTCCATTTTTATTGGATACAACAAATGTTGAAAAAAAAACCATGGTTTGGGTTGGGAGTGTTAGCATCAGTGTAAATGAGCTACTTATTAGATGAGAAAAAGTTGCTGTGTTTTATTGAATATTTCTTTATTATTGTTTTTAACACTATTATTTGTTCAAGCCAAACAACAATCAGAACGTCCTTATCTATTATGAATAACCTTGGAAACAATATGGATTGAAAGTAGTTCTACCTCGTGGTTTCAGATGTTAACAGAAACAGAATTTGCAATGTAAAACAAATGTATATATTTGACATCCAAAGGTAAAAAGTATCTTTCAATGTAATTATGATTGAAAATATGTCTGACAACACTTTTTAATTAAAAAATGCCCAGTGACATACAATTTTAAACAAATCCGACTTAATGTTCATAGGTTTACATTTTGTCCTTTCGGTCTCTATAACCATAATAATAAATATATAAATAATGTATTGTTTGATTTTATATCTATGAATTCACTTATTTTAGGTGGACATTTACTTCATATATTGGATATTAAATTGTCAACAACTCCCAGCATTAAATTAATATTCAGTTTCTAAGTGTAGGATAGACCGAAATACCGAATCAGTTCTGTGTATTCATACTACTGTGTTCATTAGGTCCTTATCCGAACTGACAGAAAGGGCCAAAAATTTCTGATTGGGTTAACAATTCACTAGATAAAGATTTGATTGTAAATTGTTCAAATTTCAATGTCATTTATGAATGAAGGTCAAGGTAAGACTTGTCTACTTAAAGGTCTTGTCTCAAGGGTTGTTGTGGTCAAGTTTGAAGACAATAGACAAAGAAGACAAAGAACTTAAAAAGTTATGTCAGATCAAGATTCAAGTTTGCGGACGGCAGCTTGAACGTCAAGGTGACTGTAACAATACCACTGTATTTTTTTCTTTTTAATGTCGAGCTTGAAATTTTTAAACTTATTTTTTTTACAGCAGTGGCTTCTTACTCTCAAAAATATTAGTGGACCACTGAAGGCATCCACTACAAAATATGGAAGATATCATTAAATAAATGAAGTAATTTACTAATTAGGAGAAATTTGAGATAAATCAAACTTGTTGGAGATAGGATAAGCATACAAGACCTATTTTCAAAGTCATAAAAAGGGAAATAACAGGTAAAAATGGATGGCAAAGTAATATAACTTGGCAATATTATATACTTTGTATTGATAAGTAATTGTGGACAATTTGAAACCATTAGTGTAGATAGAATTTAAGGTATATTCAACTTGCCAATTTAAGTTAACCATATCCATTTTCAAAGTGCTGAAAAAGGGCAATAACTTCAGTGTCAGATTTTGAATCTACTAGGCTGGTCGGACTACCAGATTGGAATATTCACTAGCCCAAAAGACATTTCACTAGCACAATTCATTTGTCCAAAACAGTTGTTTATATTGCCTCTGAAAATACAGTAGCCTGGTTGGGCTTGTTACTGTGAAAAGTTGGTATCCCGAGGATAAATTAAGTAGTCGGGGGCTATCGGACTACTGCTAATTTCAAACACTGTAACTTGGAACAAATAGAAGCCATAGTTATGTAAATTGCCCAAATCAGTCCTTTGTGTTGTGTGTAAATTATAAAGCCACAATGGTACAGGTAGAATTTAAGAAAAACTTAAGAAAAATCCAAAGTCGTTTTTATTTAACCACATACAGACTGACAAGACAAACTGACATACTTATGAAACGGTACATATGTGACTTTTCTTTACATATTTTTAGTCACACAAGGCCTAAGAAAAGAGATACAAGTACAACCGGAATGAATAGGATCAAAGAAAATGCACCATTACCTATTGTTCTCCTAGTCACACAAATACTTCTGTGTTTGTACAGACAGATAGACAGACATACGGATGGTTCAATAACTATATGCCTAAGTGCATAAAAAATTCCCCCTTACAATGAAATTGCCCCTGCTGAAGTAAGTGACCCACTTTTCTCAAATTTGATTGAGGGCCCTTTGACCCCAGCGAACATTGACCTTGCGATGGAAACCTTGGGTTAGCCTGCAGCACTGTCTCATTCAGGTCAACATTCATGACAAATATAAACAAGATTGATCAATGCATGTTAAAGTTGTGGGCTGGACAAATCTGGATGGAGGCACTAACAAACTGACACATACATGGACTATTGCATATACATCGAACAGCCATTATGACAGCTAAGTGAAGCTTCCTGCAAGCAGGTATTTTTGTTTTTTTTGGACAATGAATTAAGGTCATTGCTTTAAAAGTGGTTTTTATGCATTCAAATATCATTTATCACACACCCGTGCCGATTTTGCGACTCGGTAAAAATGGTATTGCACGGTCGTGCATATATTTTGATGTGACGTCATTAGCGTTATACAAACATAGTGTAAAGACGCGCTACATGTTAGCTTATTTCACTTTAAACGGTCTTTATTTTGGGTATGTGATAAATAGAATATTAAATTCGTGCAAGTTAATTACTGAATTTATTGCACTCGTTGAATAAAATAATATTATGCTTGCCAGAGGCTCGTATAATATAATTTTATTCAACTCGTGCAATAAATTCAGTATTGAACTACACTCATTCAATATCCTCTATATATTAAACATTGATCAATTTTGCACTGGTACTCGTATGCATCTCATTGAACATTTTCACTAATGCTCTTATGCTTTAATAGTAATAGTGTATATCTTCATGGTAGAATTCTTATAAATATAATTTAAGCATTACACTCACCATCTATTTCAAACTCTATGTCATCAAAATTACAGCCCGAGTATTTTCCAATGGTACCATTGTTTAAGCAGTGCAGAAGTCTTGAAACTTTTGCAACTTGCATAGTTTCTTCTGGGAGACGGTAGAATGCTCGATGAACACGTATATCGTGACCTTCAAATGCTGCCAATAAATCTTGAGATGTGTCATTTAGATTGAGAACCTGTGCCATAGTAGCTAGCTGTTTTCGCAGGGAAGTCGATGTAATTACTTCAGGAAACTTCAAACCAGCTTGATTAATAATGCTTCTCAAGCAGTCTACACCGCGAAATGGGAATCGTGCATTTCCTGGCCTTGCAAACATAAAATCATCGGGAATGTTTTGTTGTGATCGGAGAGTCACTAACATATTGAGGTTCTTCTGCATTCCATTTGTTAACAACACTGGGACTTTTCTTCCTTTTTTGCCAACAATTTCTACTCTCAAATATGATCTGCATAGTGTCTGCTCAAACTCTGTTAATGTGGACATAATAACAGGATCAATTATTCCACCAACTTTTGCTGTCTTAAACTGACTTACAGTCATTCGTTCCGCTTCACCACTACGCTTTCTATTGAATACAATAATTTGAGCTAGACACAATTGACAGAATTCACGGTATACATCAGAAGTTTGAGACTCTGACAAAGCACATTTACACTTTTCATTAATATAGTTATTTAACTTGGCAACGTCTTCCACAAGTGGCAGGAACTTTGGACGATTGTATTTAATTGTATCCAAGGTTGTCAAAGCCTTTCCAGAAATCTCTTTATTCCAGCGAAGCTTGTACATCTCTAAGAAGGTCTTAGCAACTTCTTGTTTGACTGGATCTCCTACTTTTAAAGCCTTAAAGTATATTTCTTCAGCACAAATTTTAAGTGAGTGTCCTAGCTTTAAGGCTAATGATGGAATACCAAAGTTTTTAGTTTCAGGATTGAATTCAGATACTTCTTTAACTGACAAAATAAGGAGGTCCCAGTTTTCTTTCTTCATGCAGTCTTCTATTGACATTAAGTTATTTTTCTTTCCTGTAATCTGCAATCTGCCTAATTCCCTCATTTTCTGTGATATGTAAACATGTTTATGTTTTTGGTGCCCTTGATCATTGTACATATTGAGTCCAAAGTCTATTATAGTAGGATCTGAAAGGATTGCTAATTTAACTTCATCTTCTTTTATGTTCAGAATTATGTTTTCATGAAAATCTTGATTACTGCATGTTACAGGTAACATTTTTTTTCCACCAGCTATAGGTCTTGTTTCATAACCTGTCGATGATTCTTTCGATTTACATGCCTTCTGGTGCCGCCAAAGTTCTTTCCTCCTGTACATACCTCGACAATATTGACATGGTAGAACATTCTTTACAGTTGTTTCAGCATCTCTAGCTCTATACTTCGGAATTATAGTACCTTTCCCTGAAGTCAAAATATCAAAATTATAAGCAAAGTCTCCTTTTTTGACCAATTCATCCCACATCTTTCTTCTTTCTTTACTTTGTTTTGGTAAGGCAAGGATTTTTCCTACTCCTATCTCATTTTTGTGTTTTAGACTTAAATGTCTTGCAATGTTTGGATACAACTTCTCACAGTATGTACAACAATGTTTCTTATTTGAGAGACTGCCTTTAAAACTTCTTTCCACCTTATCAACTACTATAAGCTGGGGAAACAAAGGCCTTTCAATTTCTTCACAAGATGGTGCAATGATCTCCGACATCTCTGAAAAAGGAAAATAAGAACTAATGAGGAAAGTGTGTAAACTAAGAAGCCATTGGTACAGGTAGAACTTAAGAAAAATCCAACTTGCCGTTCTTAGTTAACCTCGTACAGACAGACGAACAGACGGAGGGACGGTTCAATTACTTTATGCCCGGGGGCATAAAAACGGCATCTGCAACGCAGGAACATGACTGTAACAATACCTCTATTTTTTATTTTCAATTTTTTTTTTTAAAAAGTAGAGCTAAAAAGCTTTGGAATAAATGTGAATTTAATGAATACTGAGATTAACAAACTAGTGCTTCTTTGACATAAAGTGCTACATTTATGTTTCACATTAGTGTTTTCATGCTGTATTGTGAAAACCAAATTTTACAAGACTACTTTCCATACTTTCTGTTGTATATTTATCACCAGTTACCAGTTTGTCCTTGCTTGAGGAATGTAATTAGTAAAACCAACTTTGCTGTTTATACTTTTGAATTTTGATGAAACTGGTAAAGGCCTCAACAGACGGTAGGATTTTGAAGTACAACACCAATTAAAACTAAGATGTACAGGCAAATCTTAATGTGTGAAGGCTACTATTTCTTGATTTCAGAAACCTTAAGTCTAGATGTAAGGGATAGAACATGTTCTATTTTGAAAATCTTGTCGTACAGATTTTTACAGACCTCCCACAATGACAAGTAACAGATAACCAAATTATCTCCTGATAATGGGTGTAATGAATGAAATTCCACAACAATTAGGGATAAAAGGTAAACATAGTAGTAAGATGGGGTAAAATGATGTTGAAAAAAAACTCTTCAGGAGACCCAAAGTTGTGTTATGTTCCAATCCCAAATTATTCCGAAAATGATTATTTCACGGTATTGAATAGTTCTCTAATTAGGGGAGGGGAGGTAGTTTGTAGGTGGCCAGATAGCTTAGTCAGTAGAGCATTCCGAGGGTGTCAGGTTTGAGTCTCGGTCAGGCTTAAAATTTAAAAAAAAGTACAATGTATATATTTTTTTTGTAAATGGAGGTGTTTCAATCATTACTCATGGCGAAAAACGTATTTAGTGAGTAAAGTATGTAAAGGATCAATGTAAAGGGATCCTTTTTAGGGGAAACCTCAGATGATTCTTACAGTGTAGAATAACTGTCTGAATGCAAGTGTTGTATAGCTTTGAAAATTGTACATCTTATCTCTAATTAGTGTTGTACAACTAAATCCTACTGTCAGTTGAGGCCTTAAGCTGTATTAAGGAATATCATAAGTAGTAATGCTGACAATTTACCTGAAACAGGGGACACCACATCACTAAAATCTGTATCAGATTTCTTTTCTGTATCAATGTCATCTGTAGAATAAGTTATAAACAATGATTTACGAAGAGAATTTTATGATATGAAGGTATATATTTTAAATCCATGCAACAATGCAAGTTAGATAACAAGAAGAAGCATTAAACAAGAAATGTCGAACGCCACATATGCCCACCCTTTCTAGCCCTTGGCTCACATTAATGGTAATTTTGTTATAGACACTTGCCATAAATTGGTACATGGAAGTGTTGAATTATGGAAAAAATAAAAAAATAATGAAGACTTCGTGATAAAGAATTTTCAAGAGAATGAGGGGAAACCATTCTGACATTAAAGGCCAATGTGACCTTTGAACTATTGACCTAAAATCATTAGGTGTCATCTAATAGTTATGACCAATCAATATTAGAGATATGAAGACTTTGTCATAAATAGCTTTCAAGATAATGAGCGGAATTCATACTAACATTCAAGAACCCTGTGACCTTGACCATTGACTCAGTGACCCCAAAATCAATAGGGGTCACTTACTAGTTTTAACCAATTAGTATGTAAAATATGAAGACTTTCTGATAAATAGTTTTCAAGATAATAAGCGGAAACCATTCTGACATTTAAGGCCCTTTTGAACAAATGACCCCAAAAGCAAAACAAGTCATCTGCTGGTTATGACCAATCATTATGTGAAATATGGAGACTTTGTAATAATTATCATTGAAGATAATGAGCTGAAATCATACTACCATTCAAGGACTCTTTGATCTTGACCTTTGACCTGGTGACCCCAAAATCAATAGGGGTCATCTACTAGTTATGACCAATCACTATGTGAAATATAAAGACTTTGTGATAAACAGTTTTCAAGAAAATCAGCGAAAACCATGTGGTTTACCGACAGACAGACCAAAATACAGACTGACCGACATTAGCAAAACAATATACCCCTCTTCTTCGAAGGGGAGGGGGCATAATAAAAAGCAAACAGCACCAGCTTTTGAATCAAGAAATAAGGAATGATTTTGAATTGTAGCTTGTGTCCCCTATATTTGAGTTTGCAAGATAGGCAGTAACTCATTAAGTTTGATGAAGATAAAACAACAAATATGACTTCTACAGTGTTCACAATAATTATTGATCATCTGACTTAGTTTATGAGACCAATTTTCAAACTTGACCACATTATTATCAACATAATACACTCCTAAATCAACTTTAAATACTGTTAAATTCGTTCAAGCAAATGCAAGGAATGCTACATTCATGTGTCATGTTTTAGAAATATCTATTATCTATAAAGCATTTTCAAACTCTTGACTTTTCTAATTATATTACCTTCAGACGTGTCAGAGGAAGTTTCACAGTAGTCAGGGTCACCAACATCATCATCTGGAAATAAAAGACAAAGTAACTTTGGTTTTTATATTGTTTCTAAATGGAAACTGCACACATATCTAAAGTCACATCAAGTCAAAATGTGTTTTCAACCATAACATATATTACACTACTTGTTTTTGTTTGCTCTTGGAGGTAAATAAATATTTTTACGATAGCAAGTTAGTTTATCAAAGCAAAATCACATTCCTAATTAAAAACTAATACTATAACAGGATAAAAAATGCTACGCCCAAAACATTAGGATTTTTCAGAAACACTTTAGTATTCACACAAGAAAATATCATTGACACATTTCTTGATCCTGTCAGTAGTATTAAGCCTTACCATTTTCAGTATTATCATCAGAAGAAGAAGTATTGTCTTGAATATTTTCAGCTTCAGCCTCATCATCAGCTGTAAAACAATGTATCAACTATTTATCAAAGCAATAACCCTTTTTTAATTGTAGTAAAGTTACATTAGCTTCCTTTACAATATTGGTCAAGGGCTCTAGACACACATCTTACAATAACAGGACTTTCACTACAGAATGTATATAACTACGGTAAATGCAATACATTTACTAAAAAAAAAATCACCTTTTTATTTTACCAGTCAGTTTCTTTACATAAACTAAGTGAAAAAATGTCACATGTGAAATGCACATGTACAACACAGCCTTTTCTGTGCAACTTTAAGCTGCTAATCTGTCTATAAAGGATTTTTTTCTTCAGATATATATGTTTGTTTTCATCACTTCAAATCACAATTCAAATAATCATTATTCTTCAAGTACTTAAACAGAGTCTATAGTTATGTTCAAATTGATGCAAACTTTTTATTTTCATTGTCACCAAGTTGTCTCTAATTGTATATAGTCATTTCCCTGCCTTAATCAACAGCTTTAATCTGTATCAAGCTAATTGATAACATGTCATTTTTCAACACCAGCTATAGCTAAGTCACTAAAAGTATATGTGGTACAAGGAACTATGTTCAATACCAGTCAACGGTCAACATACATTTTATTCTTTTCCAGTCTAATTCCTGGCAGGCAATTAAGTATAACATCAGTTATGACAGATATACTATGGATAACTGACATCAAAGTATTTGCAGCTTGATTTTGTCAAGTAAAATCAAAAACAAGAAATGTGTAACACTATATGCCCCAGCCATTATATGGCATAATAAAATATTGGACATTAATATTCCTATTTATTCCTAGATATTGAAACACTTTAATAAAATCTCATCCTCATCCTAATTATTGCATTAAATTTGATAGTCATTGAATAAACACCACAAACCTTCCTTTGAAATTTCAATTTTTTCCTCAAATTGCAAATTTTCCTTCTGCGTAGGAACAAAATCACTATCAACCTCTGAAATAGAAAAGAACAATAAAGGTTCAAATGAGGACACACTCATTATCAACTGAGGACACACCCAGCATAATGAATGTCAATTGTGGACACAGTTGATTATGGGACTGATGATTTGAATGTACTAAGTTCAAATTTGGACAGAGGCATATATTCTTTGAGACACAAAATTTGTCCTCCACCAAAAAATGACAATCAAGTGGAGTAGCTAGACAGCTGCCAGTAGATGATCAAGGTTTGTTCTGCTTAGAGACTAAATAAACCAAGGAAATGGCTTAAGAAAATAACCTTCCCCAAATAGAACTTAAAAGTGAAGACAACACATATTTCCAGTTGGGGAAACAGCATTATCAATCCAAATGTGTAGAAATTCGGCATAATCAACTCTTACTGAGGACACACCCACTAGAAATTGGGGGAAACTAAATCATCCTAATTAAAACAAATAAACAAGAACTGTCGGAGGACAGTAGCGTTCGACTATTCGAAAATTTGTCACAAGCGCGTTTCATTGAGTATAATAATGCTTACCTATAAGAATACATAAAATTGTCCAAAAAGGTACAAAGGCTTGTAATTAAGATGTTTTATCGAGTTAATCACTGCTTTATTACTATAAAATGCATAAAATTGTTCAAAAAAAAAGGCACAAACCCTTCAGTAGCTATGGAGATATTTGCTTAACCAAGAATTTCTAAGTAGAAAAAGGGGCATAATTATGCAAAAAAGCAAATCAGAGTTATTGGACTTGTGCCAATCATGTTAGATAGTCACAGAGAACAAGTGTGTGAAGTTTCAATCCATGCCCTTCAGTAGTTATGGAGATACCAGCTTGCATGCAAAAACTTAACCAATAATTTCTAAGTCGAAAAAGGGGCAAAATTATGCAAAAAAGCAAATCAGAGTAATGGGACTTGTGCCAATCATGTAAGATAATCACAGAGAACAAGTGTGTGAAGTTTCAATCCATTCCCTTCAGGAGTTATGGAGATACCAGCTTGCATACAAAACTTAACCAATAATTTCTAAGTCGAAAAAGGGGCAAAATTATGCAAAACTTAACCACAGGGACGCTGACAAATGGGTGACTGCATTAGCTCATTCTGCGAATAGTCGAGCTAAAAATGTACTGAATCACAATTGAGGAAATACTCCCTTCTAATGGAGGACAGCCTAAACAGCTAAGTAACATAGTGTCAGCTGTGAGTGAGTGCAGACAGTCTGAAGTTCAAGTCGTGGCCATGTCATACCAATACATTTATAATGTATACAGATAGCGTCTGTGTTTAACACTCAGCAACATCAGGGCTTTTTTTTTCATAGGTAACATACTTCTCTAGAGCTACTAACCTATTTCCTCAAACTGCAAATTTTCCTTCTGGGTAGGAACAAAATCACTATCAACCTCTGAAATAGAAAAGAACAATAAAGGTTCAAATGAGGACACACTCATTATCAACTGAGGACACACCCAGCATAATGAATGTCAATTGTGGACACAGTTGATTATGGGACTGATGATTTGAATGTACTAAGTTCAAATCTGGACAGAGGCATATATTTTCTAAGACAAAATTTGTAAAGGTAGCTACTTTTTTTAACATTTATCATCATAAGGGTGGTATCAGGATTAAAATACTGGTATGTCACACTAAAGCATTGAACAATCACAATTGTTGTTGATTGCATGACTTTAAATAAATAATGATTGCTTCATTTTACGAGCCTAAAATTTAGAACATACAGCACGTACCTTCATCTGAGGAAACACCACCAACAATCACTTCATTAGTAAATGGCACAGCTTTTAAGTCCTGGATATACATGAACAGCATGAAAATATGCATATAGGAAAACTATTTGGCCTTAAACCAACATTCTGCTAATACAAATAAAGCTATGCTATATTCTAGGCTTGCTACATACTAAGCTTGTTTGGATTTATAAATTTATAAGAAGATATTGAGCAGAAAGTGTAAACTGGTTATCAAGTGATAATGTTTAACAATACATTTGATCAGACCTCTGCAACCGTGATGCCGACAAATTCCCAAGAAACTACAAGGTACTTAATTCTGATGCTTGCTGTTTGATAAGTGTTTATATACTGTGAAGGAATCAATGTTCATGCCAATGTGCCTCATGTTAAAAAAATAATCTTAAAACTATTTTTTTGCCTCATCAAAATCTCATAATAAAATTTCAACTTACATTTATGTTATAAGACACTATCTTAAATGATCTGTCAAGTATGGAAAACTCATCTCCACATTGTAGACGTTTCTCTTGGTTGGAATTGTCATAGTTTGTTAGAAACACCTAGAATAGTGAATTGTTTATACATTCTAAACTGGTGCTTTTTTCCTCAGAACATTTATTTTCATGCAGGGTGGGTAACAAGATTCTGTTTTTAAAAAAAGGGTCAAAGACAGAAATTGTCGGGTTGCATTTGTATACCAAATATCATGAGGCTGTGATGTTATGAAAATTTCCTACCATCGACCATTAATGTCAAAAATTTAACTAAGTCGGTAAACAGGAAATGAATAAGCGACAGACCTTAAATTGAATCCCATGGTGTGGGACTATGTGTTAATGCTGTATACCAAATGTTAAGTAGTTACTGAGAAAACTGTTACGAAAATTTCCAACCATTGACCCTTATTAATGTCGAATATTCAACTAAGTTGGTAACCAGGAAGTGTATGAGCGAAAAACCTAAAATTGAATTCAACAGTATGGGACCATGTGTTAATGCTGTATACCAAATATCAAGAGGCTGTGATAAGTAGTTGCTTTGAAAAATGTTACAAAAATTTCCTACCATTGACCATCAATGTCAAAAATTTAACTAAGTCGGTAAACAGGAAGTGGATGAGTGACAGATTTTAAATCGAATCCCACTATATGGGACCATGTGTTAATGCTGTATACAAATAACAAGAGAAACTGTAATAAGTAGCTGCTGAGAAAAAAACTGTTATGAAAATTTTTTCACGGCCCACCACATTCACCATATTATAACTCCGGTTTGCACCTGTGCAACCTGGCCAATAAGAAATTCAAATGGACAATATACTTATATAGTGATTACTATGTTGACAGCTGAAGGTGACAACATACATTTGATTTCTCCAAATGGAGAGTTGGATGCATTACTATTTTCTTTTGTCTCAAAAGGTCCAAGGTATAGTTATTTGTATTCTTAAAGTTTTCTTTATAGAAAAATAAATTACATAGGCCTTATCCTCATATTCATAGATATGCCTATATAATTACAAAATAATTATTACATACTTCTCCTCTTGCCACTTCTATCTGGATTTGTACTGGCAGTACTTCGGCCTTCGAGACAATAATGTCACATGATCTGGAACTAAGAACAGAGACTAAAATTAGACAACCACAGATGAAAACTTTGTGTTCATTCTCAAACTGCCATGACATATAATTTTTTCAATAATGGTTTAGTACAAATCTAGGTCACAAAACGTACATTACTTAGTCCAAGCTCATCTCTCACTCCCACTACAATATTGTCACTGCAAAGTTTGCGAATAGAAATTCAAACAGGAAATCAAGGGAGTGCCAGATGCATCTAGGTATGAGGATCAAAAGACATGAGCATTAAGTACATGTTTTATTGCATTTCTGCAAAGAAGACAGCAAGAATCTACAAATCTTATACCAGTAAGAAATTTGCAAATATTCAATTAATTATGTTCATATCCACCTAGTTTAACAAACCATTATTTTGCTTTGCTTTGTTAAATAGTGAGTATTCATGTACTGTCTAACAATATTGACCTGGCTCTTCATTATCTTTCTTGAAGGTCATTTGAATAAACACTGACCAGTATCTATCAAATATATCTTTGTATTTGCTAACTTCACTCCTCAGTGAGATGTGGTGTATTGGTAAAGATGTCTGACTACCGATCTGAAGGTCTCTGGTTCGATTCCTTACCAACACCATGTTATGATATTTTTTTTATTTACTTGCAAGAATTAATTCTTAATCGTTTTACCACACTTGGTTTTAGAATACCTTTTAAGGTATGAGCCCCCTAATGGGCACTATAAGGAACTATAAAATTGACAACATAGGTCAGTTATATACCTTAAAAGACACAAGAATGCAAAATTTAAACAAAGTTTACCGTATGGTTTACGAGTTATGGAGATTTTTCTTAAATAAAAGTTGGCTATTAGAAGGGCTCTTTTTCAGAAATGAGTAACTCGAAATATTCTATTTTATAATCATTATGAAGAAATGTTTTCCTATAAAACATTTTTAAGAAACAAATAATAGCATTCAGCTAACAAATGACCCAGCAAAATTATTGTTTCTACTCAAAATGTTTGAAATAATTATGCATATAAATGTTACCCTACCCCACCCATTTTAAGTAGTTGTTTGATCATTTTTCAACTTGGAGGGCCTTATTCAAAATATCCTTAAAATGTACTCAAATCAGGGGCTGTTTTCAAAGTTTGCATAAATTTTCTTAAAAGTATATTGGTTGCGCTTGTCAAATATAAAATACTTTTACCGTCTAGTTTTTATTTTATTAGACTTTGAAAATATCAGGTACCATATTTGATAATAAATTTGGCACAATTTAGCCAATAAATACCAATAATAATTTTATAATTAAAATGAAACACTTTTTTCTTCTCAAGAGTGATCTGTGAGACACAAATAATGTTCAAAGAAAAAAAAGAAAGAAAAAAAAAAGTTGCCTCTTATGGGGCTTGAACCCGCGCCCCTCAGTTACAATGCAGTTGACAGTAGTTCTAGCCTATTTGAATACTCTTCAAAGTGGAGGTAATGCATTAGGTGGATCATACCTTAAGTGATGCTTTTTTAGGCAACTTTTAAGTCAGTCTTGTATTTATAAGCCAGTGTCTTACAAGATGCCTTGAATAATTTGACATACCTAAAGTATATCTTGTTAGGATATATCTATACTTTCACTCAGAAAAACTCTCATGTGCAACAATGTTAGAACAATTTGAACTAAACTTTAACTACGTTTACAGTGCACACTTGTTCTCACTTCCAGCCCATGATATGATGTATAATAGTGTTCCACTTTCCTATTAAGTTTCATTAGCCTGACTCAAACATCTAAGACAGACACAATACAAGCTCATTGAACCATTTGTGAATTTCTTTCAGGGCAAAAACACTGAATAAAATAAATATTCTTACCTTCCAATTAAACAGTAGTGGTTTTTCAAAGGGAATTTTGGCCCCTCTCCATTCCTCCATACTACTTGAACTGCCGCAGTTTGATGAAGAAACTCTACAACAAACAAAATCACTAAAAACTCTTTACTATGTCACTTCGAAAGAACAACTCAATTGTTATAGTAATGACCTTAATAGTGAGCTTTCACTAGAATACATTAGTTTAAAATGCAAAGCACATATACATAGAAAATCTAATTTTTTAATCAAAATTATAATTACTAGGTATCTAGCCCAGCAAGCATGGCAGATGCTTAAATGATAAATGCATAGTTCTAATATGCTTTAGTGTCCAGCTTTATTTGTCATCCAATGAAAACGCTGTATTTCTTAAAAATTATGTGTGTTAATTTTCATAGAAGAAAAAAAATCGATACTATATTGAAATCCGTTCATAGTCGCCTTCTATTTTTCATAGCGCTTCATAGTACCGCGTAGTGACGTAATCAAGGGCCAAATAAAGCTTGACACTAAATATGTTAGTGTTCATCCTTAGCTGTTCTACAGAAATTAGAAACATTCTCCTGTCGCTATCGCTCCCGTCGAAGTTTCTAATTTCTGTAGAACAGCAAGGATGAACACTAACATAGAAAAATCACGTCAGTATAATTTTTAAAACGGGAGTTATATTTTCTTACACTAAAAATATCTCTTTCAATAAATGATTGCAATGAAACAATGTTTGAAATATTTTATTACATGCTTTTCGGTGGTTTATAGAAATATATCACTGATATAAAACTGGTAATTTCACTGTTTTGAATTTAAGCCCCTTACGTTGAAATACCAGCGTGCACAGTACTGGGAACCAACTTAATGATGTGACGTCGTAAATGACGTCACGCTGTATTATTATTTGGCACACTTTTCATTCAGTATTAGGTTTAATGTCTTTTTCAAACGTTTCTTTGCATATAATAAGAAGAAAATTTGGTTAAAAGGAAATATACCTTTTGATGCTTACTCGGTGAAATATATTCCCATCTTACACTGAACTAAACAAATATTCTCTATGTAATTTTGAATATCAACAATTCATTACAATTCTCTATGTAATTTTGAATATCAACAATTCATTACAATGTATCAATTATTGACACTTTAGCACGCATGTTTTCCAACAAGGTAGCAAATGCATATAATTCCAGACATAGGTAATCAACTGTAACAACTGATAAACAACTGTAACAATCAAACAGTATGTTGTGACTAATAACCACTTAAAATTCACAATAGGACTTTTTTCCATTCTTTATCAATTGCTTTTACACTTATATGTATATCTTTTTCATGTTAAGTGTTGAGATGCAGTAACAAGATATACATTATTTTCATTGTTGAGATCAATGATAAGCTTTTATTCTATTTGATTTTCAAAATGACTGCTTAACTGATATTAAAGTTTCCTCCTCTGTTATTTAACTAAACAAAACAGATAAATTCATAACAGAGAAGACTGAAACGGTCAAACCAAATAAATATTGTATCATATGAAACAATTTCACTTTTTATTTGGGTGAAAATAAAAATAAATGAAGCCTTTTAATAATTTCCATGTCAGATATGTTAAAAATTTTGACCTTGGATGAGCCAATTTACTGTTATTTGTGAGGAAACAACTACAATTTGATATTTATTCTCCAAATTTTCACATGATATGTTTCTTGCAAGAATCAAATTTGAATACCTTTGAGATGCTTTACCAATACATAATATGCTTTACTAATACATACAAATTTGATAGAAAACGTCAACAATATGTTGCCAATTAGTCAGTTATGTTCGGCCCATGTTGATTGTAATATGGAATTTGACACAAGCCATTTCTACCCAGTGAAGGTCTAATAATGCAAAAAAAAATCACCTGGAAACAAATCTATATTACAATTTACAGATATAATTAAATCTCAATAGGGTTTGGGATATTGCTTATAAGACCTGTTCAAACTTCTGGGTATCAAAAAACCTGTGAAAATGAGCAATCAATTTCAGGGTTCGTACAGACATCCAATGCCAAAATTCAAGGACTTTTTAAGCACTACTTAAGCATGTTTTCCCATTTTTCAAGCACATTTGCTGCACATATACCGACACAATCTTCAACCTATGATGGACAGTTTGTTCACATGTGTTAATGCTGTATACCAAATATCAAGAGGCTGTGATAAGTAGTTGCTGAGAAAACTGTTACAAAAATTTCCTACTATTGACCATTAATGTTGAAAATTTAACTAAGTCGGCAAACAGGAAGTGGATTAGCGACAGACCTGGAATCAAATCTCACATTATGGGACCACATGTTAATGCTGTATGCCAAATATCAAGAGGCTGTGATAAGTAGTTGCTGAGAAAACTGTTATGAAAATTTCCTACTATTGACCATTAATGTTGAAAATTTAACTAAGTCGTCAAACAGGAAGTGGATTAGCGACAGACCTTAAATTGAATCCCACATTATGGGACCACATGTTAATGCTGTATGCCAAATATCAAGAGGCTGTGATAAGTAGCTGCTGAGAAAACTGTTACAAACGTTTTGTCAACGCCCGCCGCCCGCCCGCCGCCCAACATTCACCATACTATAACCCGGGTTTGCACCTGTGCAACCCGGCAAAAAATCCCATTATACACCCTGATAAATCTTTTTGAACAGGTACAATAAATCACTGTGCAGAGCTGTAAAAGAGTATAATAAAAACTTACATTTGATTTTGGCTCTTTGATGTAATGTTGTTCATACAAGTTTTAATACTCAAATTTAACATCAAAGTATGGCCACAACTTAAAAAAAAGTTTGTTACCTTTTTTACTAAAACTACAAACACTTGTACTCAGGCTTCATTTATTTTCTATTTTCACCCATAAATATTCACCTGGTTCATCATAAAGCACCAGCCTTTCTAGATTTTTCTATACCATGATAAAAAAGGTATTACTTATTGTGGTTTTCAACATTTACTCTTATGTTTACATTTGGAGCATTAAGTCTGTAATATCTTTTAAATGTTAACATTCATGATTGTTTGTGCTGTTGTGGTATGGACAGATGGTTTAAAGGCAAGATGCAGGCAAGGTTCAACCCAGGGTCAAATTTGCTTTACAGATTCTCCTAAACTATCTTCACATAAGGGCTTCACACAGTGCATATTAAAGAGCCAGGAAGTCTACTAGTACTAGCAAAGAGCTAGGGTATCATAGTCCAATTCTAGGTATCTAAATCCATTTATGTCAGCGTAAGCTACATAACTTCATAGGCAATATATTGACTTACAGGGGTTAGACAATGCCACATGATATGGTAAGGTAAAAACTGTTGACCATGAGGTGTATATTTAACAGATATTTATCTACACATGAAACAAGACATTTTAGTTTTTACAGCATTACTGGGGCTGGCAACCAGCGTGTTAGCAAAAACCAGTAAGGTTGCAAAAAAGAAGAAAAAAAAATAGGCAAATGCTAAAAATACCTGAATTATTATGTAACCTTATCATAATAAATAGAATTACAGTTAACTTTCTCACATAGCAAACACCTTTATAGTGAATAATGGTTATATTAGTATACAGTTATTTCATATGTGATTTGGGAACAGTCAAACTGTTGGCCCGAGGTGGAGGGGGTTGTGTTTTGAACTGTTGCCCAAGGCCGTAGGCCGAGGGCAACAGTTCAAAACACTATCCCCGACACCGAGTGACAACTGTTTGACTGTTCCCAAATCACGCATGAAATAACTGTTTTATTACCTGATCAACTACTGTTTTAACAGTATTTTCAGAAGAAAAAAGGAACAAGAAAATAGTTTTGCACATATGTTAATAATTAAACTTAATATTTTAACTATGTCACATCACGTCTGGTTCATGATCAAGATCAATGGACGCTTCAAATTAGAATCCTCTATGACGTCAATGACGTCAGAGCACGAGAGGGAAACAGTCGAAACTATTGACCGGTCAACAGTTTGCGAACGTTGACGTTTTTAGAATTTCAAAAAACAGAAAATAATAACAAATTACATTTATATAAGGTATAAGGTAATAAAACAAAATATTTTCGCCAGTTTTATCCCTTTTTAACATTTTTACAGTGAACTAATTAAAGCTTATAATGCTTATTAGGATCTTTTTTGTCCCATTTGACCAAAATGCAAGGAAAATTAGTGAACACAAATTTTTTATTATTTCACTCCAAAATGTGTGCAATCAGAATGCTTACTATTTGTAGGTAAGACAACCCCTCAGAGGCTGTAGAATATAGAGTGAAAAATAAGTATTTATCAAGGTAAAGGAACAATGATCAATTAAGGTATTAGCACCCTAATGCATTACCTCCGCTTTGAAGAGTATTCAAATAGGCTAGAATTACTGTTAACTACATTGAAAATGAGGGCCATGGGTTCAATCCCCAGAAGGGTCAACTTTTTTTTTTTCTTTCTTTTTTTCTTTTAACATTATTTATGTATCTCTCATGGGAATATGGAAAGAAAAAAGTGTTTAATTTTGAATTTTTAATTTATATAGGTATTTATTGGCTAAATTATGCTAAATCTAGTAATAAATATGGAACCTGATATTTTCAAAGTGTAATATAATCAAAACTAGACTGTTAAAGTATTTCATATTTTAAAAGATCAACCAATATACTTTTTTAAAAATTTAGGGAAACTTTGAAAACAGGCACTCATTTTGGTAAATTTTAAGAATTTTTTGAATTAGGCTCCCTTAGTAGAAAAATGGTCAGACATGTGGTAAAAATGGGTGGGGTAGGGTAATATTTTTATACAGATTTCATAAATTTTAAGTAGAAACCATACGCCCGTTTACGAAAGCTTTAGATGGAGATGGGGGCATTATGGATAAGTGTTATCTAGCAAGCAAGTTTTTATTCTTGGCACTGTGTTGTAAAATGAACCTTAAAACAAATCAGTAAGGAAGATATGCACAGGATGTGTGACCTTGACCTTGGTCGCAGGGACCTGAATTTTATGCACGGCACTCAGCCTCACAATGATGAACATTTGTGCCAAATTATATTGAAATCCCCCTATGAATGTAGAAGTTTTGCTCCGGACAAGCGTTTTTCAATGAGCTCTTAGTGTGACCTTGACCTTTGACCTGGAGACCTGGATCATGCATGGAGCAATACATATCATGGTGGTGAACATTTCCATAAAGTATTATAAAAATTCTTCCATACATGTAGGAGATATGCTCCAGACAAAATCTGGATATTTCACCATCTTTAGTGACCTTGACCTTGCATATATTGACCTAAAGTACATGTGTCACAGCCGTAGTCATGATAATGACCATTTGTGTTACAATCCCTCAATAAATGATGATTAAATCGTCCCTATACACATCTTCACATTTTTATCTAAACTTTGACCTCTATGTGTGACCTTGACCTTGACTGCAGGGACCTGAATTTTGTGCGCGACACTCCGCCTCACACTGGTGAAAATTTGTGCCAAGTTATATTGAAATCCCTCTATGCATGTGGAAGTTTTGCTCCGGACAAGCGTTTTTCAATGAGCTCTAAATGTGACCTTGACCTTTGACCTAGAGACCTAGTTCATGTGCGTGACATGGCTTCTCATAATGGTGAACATTTCTATGAAATTTTCATTAAAATCCCTCCATGCGTGTAGGAGATATGCTCCGGACAAAATCTGGATATTTCATCATCTTTAGTGACCTTGACCTTGTATATATTGACCTAAATTATATGTATCACAGCCATAGTCTTGATAATGACCATTTGTGTTACAATCCCTCAATAAATGATGACTAAATGGTCCATATACACATCTTCATATTTTTATCTGAACTTTGACCTCTATGTGTGACCTTGACCTTGGCCGCAAGGACCTGAATCTTGCGCGCGACACTCCGCCTTACAATGGTGAACATTTGTGCCAAGTAATATTGAAATCCCTCTATACATGTGGAAGTTTTGCTCTGGACAAGCATTTTTCAATGAGCTCCAAGTGTGACCTTGACCTTTGACCTAGAGACCTGGTTCATGTGCGCGACACTGCTCCTCATACTGGTGAACATTTCTATGAAGTTTCATTAAAATCCCTCCATACATGTAGGAGATATGCTCCGGACAAAATTGGACGCCGCCCGCCCGACCGCCCGCCAGCCAGGGGCGTTCCCATAATACGTCCTGTTTTTCAAACGGGCGTATAAAAAGGGCATACAGGTGTACTTTAAGGTATACATCTGACCTATGATGTCAATTCTTTAGTTCCTGATAGTGCCCATTAGGGTCCTAATACCTTAAGTCTTAATATAACATACATATAGTATCTTGTATGTTTATCAAAGCAATGGGTATTTACATCTTAATAGATAAATCACAAACAAACTGGTTGTCTGCCCCTTTAAAACAAGTTCACTATATATCATTAAATAAATTTATAAGCTTACCTTCCTCCAATGAACAGACTTGTCTCCATAATTAAACCTGAGTTCTGTTCCAGGTTCAATTTTTTTGATGGCTGTAAAGGCTAATTTTGGAACTCCGTCCACCACTTGTAATTGGACTTTACAATTTGGTTCACGGTGATCGTCGTTTATCATCCGACCACATCCTGATGACTTAGTACCATCAATACTGTTGGTTTAAAAGATGATACAGAATTCAGTAAATATTTCACACAAATTTTCCTGACAAAAAGAGGATAGTATTTGCAATATGGCTTTAAAATGGAAATCCTGGCTTCAACTGGTCATGATTTAAAAGCCTCATGCAAGAATTTTGAAAGTCAAACTAATCATTCAAAAGAATTTGTGTAATAACATGTTTCCTCGGTTTAAGATGCTTTTCTGTAAAGGAAAATTGCATTTTAGCGAAGAAGCCTCATTAGATCTAAAAAAATATGTTATATTGCTTTATTTCAAAATTTTAACAATTTCCAATTCTTGAATCATCCATTTTCTTTTTTTTTACCCCTTTTCAGCAGTATTTCAGTTGTAAAGACAGGTAGTTTCCTAACCATCATTCCTGGAGAGTTACACCAGTACTGAACACCTTTCCTCCGTGCCAAACTATCGAATGCTTTTCTCGGGATTTAAACCCATGCCAGAGATATCTGAAGTCAGACACTCTAACACTAGACCACCGTGGCAGTCAGTAAATTCATTCATTAATATGATTTTAAATTAAATCTAAAAAAGAACACTTCAACAGTTAATGCAGTAATACTTTCAAGTGGAAAAAGATCCAAGGTCTTAATCATATCAAACTGAAGTTACAAGTATAATTTTAGGCACACTGTGCTGACTTAAGATTGTATACACCCAGCAGTGCTAGCACTACAATGAACCCAGTATAACTTACAGGCAACTAAAACACTTAGAACATTACTATCCTGGTTATTATCATAAAATAAATATTGTATGGATACAATTGTATCATTACTAAAATAGGAAAATATATGTATTTTTTTAAAGACTTTGGTGATGATTTTTAATGTATATCTTACCAAAGTTTTTCTTTATTATGGTTGAAAAAAAACAGGAAACTGCCTTTTTCACTGTTGTCATTCATCCTCTTCTCCCCCTCCTTATTCGATATCAACTCTCCATTATAATAGCAAAGAAGTTGGTTATGTTCTATTATGTCATCAGCAATGACACCATGACCTACAAGAAAATTTACTTAGCTTTTATCATAATAATTCCAGTAGCCAGATATGCTCCATTTGCAGTTTTGTGAGAATTAAGTATGTAACTTCACATCACTGCCTGATTTTTACATTGATCTTAGCTTAGTCATCTATTATAGCCAATGAAAATGCTTCAAATTCCTCAAAATCAAAATATTTATGTACATCAATTTAAATCATTCAAAACAACCACATAGCAAAATTATTTACAATAATCAATCCAGTGTCATAAATTTTTCTCATTAATCCTACAAGTTGTCCCTAATAAGGATGTATTATTTGTGAGACAAATAATTACCAATGGATCTATCAATAAACCTGATCTTCAAAATTCCCCTTTCTTCTGCAGACTTCATGTCTACCTTAGGTTTTCGTGGTCTTGGCTTCATTGTCCTAAAAAATATTTATCATTTATCCACTTGCAGTTTAAAATTCGAAATATATTCTCAATGTATGTTTAATTACTGTTTAACAATTATAAAACAAGAGCTTTGTCACTGATCAGCGGTAAATGTACAAGCTCCCCCTACTTAGTTACTGTTACTTAAATCATCCCAAGCTTTTCTCTAAAAATGGCGGTAGAAATGAAACAAGATTGAATATTTATGATTCTTTATCGAATGTTACTGAAATATAATACTTAAGGTATTTACCAGATCACGCATGTCTGATACAAAGAAGACTGAACTATCATACTCATGGTTACATCCATAGTGTAAAAATTAGCAGTGATAATATCAACAATGTTTACGTTTCTGCAAAATGAAGGCCATCAATGTGAGAAAAAAAACAACCTTATATATGTTTAATAATGTAATAAAATATTTATAGAATAAAGAAAAACTTATCTTTTTTTTTGTTTTTTTTGATACATTGTTAAAGACAAGGTCTGCAACATCAGAGTAGGAAAATTATTTTAAGCGTTAATTATTTTACATTCATTTAAGCGTCAAAAATTTCCCTTAGCAAGTTATAACAACCGATTATTGCATGAAATCAAATCAAAATATATAGTATTCTATCAATGCTAACAACCGATTATTGCATGAAATCAAATCAAAACATATATAGAGGATATTGAATGAGTGTAAGTTCAATACTGAATTTATTGCACGAGTTGAATAGAATTATATTATGCAAGCCTCTGGCGAGCATAATATTATTTTATTCAACAAGTGCAATAAATTCAGTAATGAACTAACACGAATTTAATATTCTATTTATCACATACCCAAAATAAAGACCGTTTAAAGTGAAATAAGAGTCATTTTTCATTGATTCGTCTACAGTATAACGCTAACATTAAGCGCGTCTTTACACATCAAAATATATGCACGGCGTGCAATACCATATTTACGGAGTCGCAAAATCGGCACGCGTGTGTGATAAAGTATTCTATCAATGCTAACAACCGATTATTGCATGAAATCAAATCAAAATATATAGTATTCTATCAATGCTAACAACCGATTATTGCATGAAATCAAAATATATAGTATTCTATCAATACTGACAATTAAGAGCACGAGATTTTCTCTCAAGTTGCCTTGATAAAGAGTAAAAGTTAGAAATCATCCAGGTCGACAAGATGTCACTTTATATACTGTTAGTAATTAAGTGAACTTCTCTTTGAATCCACAAAACTGCTAAATAGAGGATTTTTCAAGAATGCAACATTTTTGCATTTACATTGCACATTATAAAACATAAAGTAAACTTTGCATGTTTTTAATATGTTTGACTGTATAATCTTTTCTTAAATTTCAAATTTAATTGCACATTTTAAAAGTACTGAAATTTGTGCATAATACTTTATTTAAAATGAAAACCTTGATGAAAATTTCTAGAAATAAGCTAGTGAAGATTTGCCAGAGTCTAAATATTTTAAAAGAAATACTTATATATTATAATATGGTATTTCAAAGATTTAAATGTATTATCTACTTCTAAGATTTTATGCTATTTTTAGAAAGAAAGCGAAGGATTATTCACATTCCTTTAGGTAATTTCCGTGCATCCTTTTTGACGAATGGCAGACATTTCACTCCCAAGACATTTCACTATTGAGACGTTTCACTCCCAAGACAGTTCACACCTAGACGTTTCACTCCCATTTTGTACGGTTCACACCTATACGTTTCACTCCCATTTTGTCAATTGTATGGACGTTTCACTCCCAAATTTTAGATGTTTTTATTAAGAAAATTTAATTTCATTATAATGGGGAAATTCAATTTAATGATTCATTTTGTTGAATTTGAGAGTATTGTCAAGAAGGATTTATGAATTTGAAGAATGATTATAAAAGTATAATTTTTCTGAAATATAACATAATGTGTTAATAATTATGACCTATACAGTATAGTATCAGCTCAGAAAAGTGAATTTTGTTCCATTTAAACAGTGTTTTGAAGAATTTCTGTTAATTATTAGGAGTAAAAATGTTGGTTTCATTGAGGACATAATTATGATGAATTATTAGAAGATTATCATTATACTCATTTAAATATGGGTTTAATTATAAGAGGCTTAAATGAAAGACAAATGTCTGAAATATCGTTTTTCATTATAAGAGTAACAACATGAGAAAATTCTATTTATAATAAATCAAGAAAGATAATAGAATAACAAAATGATAATGTTCATGAACAACAAAGACACATTGTAAGTACCAGTTTGAATATTGAAACCACGTACAGTAATTAAATAATATCAATATATAAAATATATTTATAAGTTTTTTTGTAAATATATTTATCAATTAAATGCAGAAAATATGCATAAAATTAATATATTCTTTAAATTATTTCTTTATCAATTTATTGAACAGTAGCCTGAGACTAAGCCATTAAACAAACTTCTAAGGTAATTGTGGTGTTAGCAGTAATCTCATCACCTAATTAGTTGTATAAACACTGAGACCATCAATTAACAGTTTGACATCACTATTAAATTAGGAAGTGGCTAGCTGTACGGGCCCGTACGGCTAGCCAAAAGTTCTAGCCGTACGTGAGTCACGTACGACTAGCCAGGACACACTGTATTGGCTAGCCGTACGGCACTTTTCAAAAATATATGGAAGGCGAAAGCACAGGTGGCAGTATCAGTGTTTGGACACCCCACCCCTATCTGCCCCTGGACCCCTACTACAACCCTGAAAAAAAAAAATAATTCAACACTCTAAGGCTTACTATAAGGTACCAAATACAAAACCACCGATGAAATTATATTAAAAAAAAAATTTTTCCACTATCAAAATTATAGTTATAGAAAGGTGAAAAGCCTACTATATGTTCATTTGCCAAACAATGTGGAACACGGGAAATCGTCGTTTCGGCGACTGAGGCGCATTCCGGCGGCATTTCGCTGCATCATTCATTAACATCAATAAAAAGAACTAGAATTCCACAGCTTATCTAATTCAAGTCCAACGAATATCACTATCATTCCGATTTTTTCTGTTTCACGGTATTTTTTGAATTGTCGTAGCCATTTTGCAGTCTGATACCTGGGTTGAAATACGCGATCTGATTGGACGAGCCAAATTGGACGTGAAATAGAAAAAATCGATAGAATATTGATAGTCGAAAAAATTTTTTTTTAATATAATTTCATCGGTGGTTTTGTATTTGGTACCTTATAGTAAGCATTAGAGTGTTGAATTATTATCTTTTCAGGGTTGTAGTAGGGGTCCAGGGGCAGATAGGGATGGGGTGTCCAAACACTGATACTGCCACCTGTGGGCGAAAGTGCATATGTTAATTATGACTTTAAGAGAGGATTTTAGTCAAGAATGTTTACTTTTTAGAGATTAATCGACGTGTTGGCTACAGTAAAGAATGTACGTACTTTGTCATCACAAGACGTCGAGAAAAAATAGCGTTTGGTTGCAGTTAAATAACATCAATTGAAATAGTTTACAAAATTTTGATAATAATCATTTTTTGTTTCATTAAGTTTAATTTTTAAATTGAAAAAAAAAAAAAAAAAAAAAAAAAACCCAAAAACACACCGAAAATAATTGTTGTCGGGCTCTGATAATTGCGTCAAATACCGACGGTATAGAAGTTTGTTCATCGTCCATCATTAAGGAAAGTTTGCATTATTAAATTATTTTTCCTTACCCTAGCGAAAAAGAAATCATGTTACATGATTAAACATGATAAGATGTGTACAAACATGTTTTTTTCTTCATTGACCATGTTGCTCAATCATGTCTTATAAACATGTTTGACCATCAAACATGATTGTGGATGAAAATTACAATTTGTTCAATAAAACATCTGTATTTATTTCAACTAATATTATAATGACTTTCAGGGAGAGGTAAAAATCATAAACATTGTTTTTTTTTTCTGCAAACAATCTTACAAGAAATCAACATATTCAATCATGAATAAACATGATAAATTTATAAAAAAAAAAAATCAAACAAATCTCTCTTTTTTCTTGTTACTTTCATCAAATAAGTTATTCTTTTGGATAAAAAAGTATCCATACATTTCAACTTTGTGTAAAAACAGCCTTAAACGCTTTAATAATTACTGACACATTGACCCATTTATTACTAAGAGAATAACATAGTCATACATGATCAAACATGTCTGAACATGATAAATTCCAAGTCAATATTTTTTAACAAATAAGCATTTTTTAAATTACATCTTACAACAGGATTTTACTTTCTGTGAAAACACTGATAAAAAGAATAGTTTCAGTTGTTTTGTTTACAATTTTTTTTATAGGAAAGCAAACATGTTTAAACATGACTGAATTTTGAATATAACAAAATTTTCAGACAGCTCAGAGCATGATTCATCATTCAGCATCTCCTTGGTTATAATCCTAGAATCCATCTGCCAGGCCATAAATGGAGGTTAAACATATTGTCCCCATTTTCAACAGTTTTACAGCATTTATCGGAATACAAGATAAGCATTGATATAAAGCATCAAAGGGCACTGGGAAGAAGTAAATGTAGCAAAATTAATTAAAATGGTGAATTAAGGTGGGATCTTAATTTCAGAAGCTGGGGATTATGTACCACAATATGAGGCATAAATTGTTAGTGGGATATATTACCCTTTACTGTAGCCATAAAAGCTAAATTACTAGGTAAGCTAAAAGTTTAGGTACAATAATCACATAATTATGTTCCTACCAGTTACAAATATACAACAGACAAAATAAAATATTCCATACAGGACGCTGAACTTCAGTTTGGCGCAAGTAAAAAAAAACTCAGTTAAGAATTACCAATTTTTTCATATGAAGGTTATGGTTGCAAAGCAGAGCTCAAACTCGCCATCCACCATTTTTGGCAGACAAGAGTTACTGAAAATACTACTTAAACTTGAAAAATTTTATCAAAACAAAGGAAAATATCTTGGAATAGAAAATATTTTCATGAAATTGAACACCTATGAAAGAATCTGAATTTATTTGTATCCGAAATCAATACTTTTTAGTTAACATATCATTTTATTATCTATTATGAAAGACAGATTTGAAGAAGTGACCCGAAAATCACTACCACAGGGATTGTGCCTATAATAATTAACACTAAATGTCACATCAAAGTTGTATTTTGTAATATTAGACTTATATAAATTTACTGTCTCAAACTGCATTTCAAATGATGCAATCTAAAATACGCCAGTCACTTGAACAAATTTGGAACACAACTAACTTAAAAAATGTATTTTCAGTTTGAATAACAAACACTTCTTCAATTATCTTATCTATTAGAACAACATGAACATCCTCTTCAGTTTTCATTCTTAACAGATCATCTGAGATGGTATCCAACATCACAAAAAGGATGTACTTGTTCTGTTATTGTACATATATGTCCAACAGCAAACAACTTCTCATCCACAATATTTTCTATGAAATATGATATAGCTAATATCACACTATCCAGGCACAAAACAGTGTAACAGTTTTTTCATTTGTTTGTACTTTTCGGAATAAAGAAATTATCCTTTGTCGTAATATTCTGTGTGTTATTCTATAATCTTTTACATTGTTCAAACCAATCTTAGCAAGAACACAGCATTGTTCTTCTTTAGATGCAAAATTTCCTTTTGAATATTCAGTGCCAGAGGGTTTTTCATCACCCGACATAAGTTAACCAGTATTATTTGGACAAACTCTTGATAGAAAATCTAACCAACAGGGTTCGCATCAGCAATCATTTCTGTACTTATAGTTCTGACATACAGATCTGTTAACTTGAAGTTTATTGTTTACATCCAAATTTATGTCCGAATTACTCTTTCTAATTTCTTGTATTTTCATGGTCATAGAAATTGTCACACTCATACATGTTTAAGGTAGCACTCTACAGTTAATTTCAAGTTCCTCAGCCGTCAATGTCCTACAAGTAATACGTCTATTTATTCTGATACCAAACTACACAACCTGGAAAAAGAAAACACATTTTGTTGAGAACATATATGACATAAGATTGCAAATCTACAAAGAAATTATCCCATCTGCAATAGGCAGGCAGTAAAAAAAATGCAATTCATTCCGTTGAAGCCCAAAATCTACAGTGGACGGAGCCCCAAAACAACACATTTCATCCCTCTGGCAAAAAATCAAATATACAGGCTAAAGGAATACCGTCTCTGCTTTAGCAACTTTCTATACATGCAAAATATCACAAAGTAACTGGTACTCAACCTTGTAGATTTTTTGCTACTGCTTTTTGTTATGTTTTGGGTTTTACGTCACATCGACACAGTATAGGTCATATCGCGACGTTCCAGCTCTACTGGTGGAGGAAGACCTCAGGTGCCCTTCCGTGCATTATTTCAGGCACGAACGGGCACCTGAGTAGAACCACCGACGTTCCGTAAGCTAGCTGGATAGCTTCCTCACATGAAAGAATCCAAAGTCCCTGTCAGGATTCGACCCCTTAGCGGTGAGGGGCAAGTGGTTTGAAGTCAACGACCTTAACCACTCAGCCACGGACGCCCTAAAAGTTGTCCTTATAAAATTAAATTAAAAAAAATAATATGATGGACACTTGTATGAAATAACAACAAAATTATACCCTAAAAATTTAAATGTAGACAACAAATATTATCATATCTTTATCTTAAATTGCAATTATTAATGAATCTAGATCAGCAAATCAAATTTCACAAGTTAATTTTCTTAAAAATTTAAATGAAAGACAGTTACAGCCGGCTTATTCAAGTTATTTTATAAAAAATAATTTATTTTCTCTTTACAAAATAATTATATATTAGGCAAACAAAGATGAACATTACTATATTTGCCTTTTATTTGGGTGTATCTATTCTGGGTATAGTCTGGGTACTTCGTGCGGGTCGATTTGTGCCGCCGGTTTCCCATGTTTCCGTAGCCAAATATCCCCATAAATACCCCTAGGAATTAATTTCATTCAAGGACGGCCATCGCCAAATATTTGCAACATTCCTTTTTTCTCTCTAGGTCTTTGGTATTTTGCCTCGCGGGCAGAAACTTCATGATGAGAATTTTTTTGTTTTGTTTTTTACGGAAGTACAAACTAGCCGGTCACTGTTTTCTAAAATCTGATTCGACAATCACAACTTGTTCGACCAATCAGAAGCGTTGATTCATACCAAGGTGCGTAATGCACACAATTGTTCATAATGCACAAAAAAAACTTTTTGTATTTAACGAAAGCCAAACGGACAAAAACATCACCTGTTTATAAAATCAAATGGGCAATAGAGTTCTTTCAGTTCTCACTCGAGATAAGAGGCAACCTATACCCCTCAGAAATCTGAACGGATTTACGCGATTCACAAAAATCCTTGAGGCTGGCTAAAATACGGAACTTACGGACTATTCCGGATGTTATTCTTATAATAAATATACAGCTAGCAAACGGGTTGCAGCACTTGCCGTGGTGTCAGAACAAAACATATTGTTATATATAATGACATTTACCTTCTTCAGCTTCTAAAAACCTCGAAATCCACCAAAATCGCATGTTTACAGTTTCTTCAAGTGTTATCTTTCTATACTTCCGGTTTAGAAAATCACGTTACCTTCAGCGCCACCTAACCCAAAGTTTATATTTAGCAACCAATAGATTACAAGAATACATGTGTGGTTAGTTTTTAACGAGGGAAAAATCAAAATGGCTGAAAAATGAAAGTGCTTATTTATTGGACTTTGGAGAACAACTGGTCGTTTGTCAGCACTGCCGCTGATCGGGGAGGGTTAATGCCTTGGACAAGAACATTTGCCATGTTCTAGGAGAAATGGTATCCTGCTATACCCATCGCAAGTAAGTTCTTCATCTGCACGCATGCTTCCGAGCACAAGGACAATCTTGATAATTAAAATAAGACTGCTCTTGCTTTCAATTAAAATTCAAAAGGTCATCCAAAATATACCTAGCAAAATGCCAGTCTTCTGGAAAGTTATCGGTCCAGACGGCCGACCGAAAATTTGGCAACCTGTCCGGATTTTTTTAAAGGAACAATCGACCATATATCTGGAGATTTTTGAGGAAATTATTTAAATTCTCATAGCCACAAAATTTCCACTTATAAATGAATGAAACTTAACTTAAAAAAGAGATTTTAACT